ATACTCATTTTGCAGTGTGTGATTACTCTGTGGGACTTGTTGCCCCAGGGCAGTACTGACATGGGAGGCTTAGCAGGATACACATTCACGCATAATAAAAAAAATCATTTGTAGAACAATGAAAAATAACCCAACTATTTTTGTCTCCATGTTTCACAACATAAGCTAATTCTATGAAAACAGCCAGAAGCTTCCTCCATAAGCAGATTATTGCAAGACAGGCTCTGAGTGACATCGTATGCCTTCCTCTGAGATATCTGGCCTGGGCCATTGCTGGAGACAGGCTGTAGAGGGATAGACTATTGATTTGATTCTCCACTTTAATATCCGTTCTCCAACTGACTTTTCCTTCATGATGTCATACGAATAATGGAAGGCAGAACATTTTTCCCAGGCCAGATAAGTGTTCCTTTCTCTCTATTAAGAGTTTGGAATACCTCATTTGCTATCACACTTGGGAAGATACAGCACAAATAAGTGAAATCTAATCAAGATTTTCCCTAATTTCCAAAAAGGCTGCTGCAGAGTTCAGCTGCCTTTTTTATTGACTGTGGTAGTAAGCACAGATGCCACTTACCATGAAGATGTTTTTACATAGGCAAGGCTATTAGAATGATTTATAACACTATTGTCTTAAACTGCAATTTTGCTGAAAGCAACAGGAGCAAATTGTGTGCATCATGGGTAGCTTGGGTTTGCTCCTGGTTTGTAAAAGCCATTATTTTAGTCTTCTAATCATTAAGATTTATGTTACATAGGCGAGAAGTATTGTAGGTATATCACTTATCCAACTGTTTTTCAGAACAAAAATGAAGCATCATATATCCAACCACTTACAGGAGATGCCCTGATACCATGACAATGAACACAGTAGAAGTAGAGCAGAACTGTGTCAATAACTGTAAATATACCCTGCAATTCTTTCTTTTAAAATGTCACGTTTGTGGAAAAACTGTTGTTTACTCGTGCTGACTTTCTCCACCTATTTGATAAATCACCTTCAAAGTAAGATAAGCATATAAAAATTCATTCTTGGTGTGCCTTCTGCAGTCCAGTGGTGCCCCAAGACTTACAGCTAATAAGGAATTCGGCTGTTGTGAGAAACATTTTTCAGCAATCTGAGAGCAATGGAAAATCACAGAGACCTGGGCTCCTCAGCTGGTGCTCCCCAGCAGCTCAAGTGGGGTGAGTCAGGGGCCAAGTATATTTGAGGTTCTTCTGAAAATGGGGCCTATACTCCTCAGTCCCTAAGGTGCTTTACTGCTTTATAGGCAGCCTGCGCATACAGCGATAGCCTGTGCCCTCTGAAAAGGTATGTCAAATCTCTGCCGGGAGGCTCAGACCCACTTTCTGATAGACATGTGAAGTTTCCATCTGAATTTGCACACAGATAATATATACGGTGTGCTCCCTTTCACACAGCTACGGTTTCCAAAGTGTCTGGAGGCCAAGAAAAGCAGATGTTAGAGAGGACATTTTCTCCACATGACTGAGGGGGACAGGTGTTCACACCTTAAAGTACCAAGCTCATTTCTCTTGGATTCATTGCAACAGGAAGAAAAAAAGCCCTCTCCCAACCTAAAATGATTTTTGAATGTCAAAATAATGCATTATGCATGTCTTAATGGTGTATCGTATACATGTCCCAAGTTTCCTAATTCTGGAGGTTTTATAAGACCTCTTGGTGTGTGCCACCAGCTGCTTGCTCACGGCCGGCGCGAGTCAGTGCTCCGAGCCGTTGCACACACTGCTGTTATAGGTCTCCAATAAACTTCAAGCAGAGTGAAGTCATTCAACCAGGTAAATCATCATGTCCAGTCCATATTACAAAGGACTGATGATTGCATTTCTGAAAACCATTTTATACTGCCTTTTAGTCATCCCCCTCAAACGTCATGACAATGTTAGTCACAAACTACACCTTCAGGATGTTTTATCTATCTGCCTACCCACCTTCCTTTAACGCTACTTCCCCGGTCTGCCGTAGTTATGTTTTGTCCTGGTGGCCTGAGGGTTGACTGCTGGATGTGAGACTGGGTCACTTGCTGGCCAGAAATGTTAATTTTCACACAGACCTTTTCAATCCTGAATCATTCTCTTTTTCCTTCATGCAAGGTTAAAAAATAGAGAGGTTTACTCCCGAGTATAGTGCACGGTGTTTGGAAGAAAATGTTAGCTTTTATCAGTCAGACTTCCCGGACAGGCAGCAGGCAACTGTTAGCAGGCAATGGGCCAGGCGGACCTGTGGGGAGGCCAGTTTGTATTTCCACAGGCAGGAGTGTTCCCACCCCAGAGGCACGAAAGGGTTAGGACTTCCAGCAATGAACCTGAGTGCAGCTATTACCTCTTCTGCAAAGAAAAGGGTTCTTGTCTTCACAGGCTTTGCCATGTCTAACTGCTGGTAGGGGTTGAATTTTTAACAGTGAACAACTACTTAGCTGTATTTTTAGATTTTTTTTAGATTTTTAGATGCCTTCTGTTGTCCATCACATCACTGTTATGGTTTGTAGGACTGTCGGAGGAGAACCATGCAAATTCCTGCGCACATGGTGTCATTTTATGCTCCCTCCTGTTCTGTTCCTTCTATCTGCTTTAAACCAGCAGGAGGGGAGGTGGGAGAAATACGACATTTTCTTTTATTGTCTCCAAGTGTTTAAGGAATGACAGACATAATTTTTTCATTTAAATGATTACTCTTTGCCAACACAACACAAGCAAACACATAAAGTAACACAAGAACTTACCACAGTGCGCTGCAGAGCACAAGGGCAGCCACTTGGGAGCGGAGGCAGAGAGAGGTGCCAGTGGAAAACCTGTCCATGCTTTCCTTCAGATGGAGGAGACATAATGGTACCTGGAAAAAAGAGACTGTCATTACCAGTCTTTTTTTGTCATAGTTAATGCTATATTTAGTGCATTGCCGTTCTGGCAAGTGGAGGTCTAATGGAAGATGAGGCTGATGGAGAGCGATGGCTGGCAGCACAGCACGGGCAGCTGTGCTGTTGGGAGTGGCAGCCCCCAGGGAGACGAATGATGGAGGGGTGCAGAAAGGGGCACTGCTTTGGCGATGCCATGCAGAAGTTGAGTGCCTGACAGTGGCCCTAGAGAATGCACAGTTTCTCCATGCCATTTAAAGACGTGGTGGGGCAGAGGGGTTGTTCCTAGGGTTGCAGTTTGCACCACCCCAGTGACCCTCCTGGGCAGGGAGAGGTCTTGCTGAGCAGAAGGAGCACTTTTAATGCCATGGTAACACTAATTGCTCTCACGATGGGAAATGTCAGTGCTGTAATGTTGATACCATGAGTGTACAAAGCCTCATGTCCTCTGAACAGACATCATGGAGAGAGCTCAATGAGTTAGGACAGATATTTAAGCTCTTCCCAAAGCATTTCCCCTCTGGCATCCTTCGCTTTTTGCATAACCCCGTGGTCTGCTCAGAGCAGTGACCGTGCCTGCCTTGGCACAGAGCAGAGCTATGTGACAGTGCTCCTTTGGACAGGAACATAGCTCCAGAGCCCATCCTTGTTCCCACGTAGCAGCAGCCTCTTGCAGAAAGGCCTCTGTTTGCCAAGGGCTGGATCTGATTCTTGCGGATATTTTGCGTGCATTAACCTTCCTGTAAGAAAATAACCTTATTCAGTACTGCGTGTAGGTGGAGGAGATGATGGAAGGGAGGGAGAGCTGCTGCTGGCAAACAGCCAAATCAAGACTTAAATACAAATTCTTACTTTTCCTGCTTGTGAGAAAGGCCAAATAGAGTTTTCCAAAAATACATAGACCCTTCAGTACATGTGCTTGACTTAGGACTTGTCTAGCAAGGGATGGATTGTGCCTACCTTTTGCATGGAGAGGCAGGAGCGTGCCTTGGATCTGCCCCTGGGCATCCCTGTGAGTGGTTGTCCTTGCTTCCCCATGGGGAGAGCAGAACTGCCCAACGCTGGCGTGGTGGGAGCGGCACTGCCCTCCCAGTCCTCCCAGCAGTGGGGACTTGTCTCCAGGCGGGGTGCCAGTGGCACAGGTGGCAGCCAGGGCTCACCAGGGAGCGCTCCCTTTGCAGGGGTAGCGCTGCCCCCCCTGACACAGCCCATCTTCCACTTCTCTGATTTACTGGTCAATTTGATCAACCATTTAATTTTTTCAAAATCATTGACAAAAGACCATTAAAAGGAGAGTTATGCCACTTCTACACCCTATGGCTTTGGCTCATTTATTTTAATTAGCTGTAACAAATTCATGGTTAAACAAGGCTCGAGAGGGTGCTATCTAAATGTGGTACTCATGGCATACACAGTACCATTAATGAAACACTTCTCCACAGCTTGACTATGTTCTTCTCCATCTAGCTTTCAGCTCATTATAGCACTAGAGATAGGAAACAAAATGTAACACCTAATTAAAATGTGAGCCTGTGTCCACAGATGATTCAATAGAAATAAAGGCATTAAGCTGGCGAGAGAAGCAGGAGAGAACCATCACAATAAAAACATCTCATTCAAGCAGAGTCTGGAGGAAGCTGTCCCTCTGCTTTAGGCCCCTGCATAAAGTTGGGGGTAACAAGAGTATTCGGGTCCCGATCCAGCAAAGCATCAAAAAGTAAAAACTGATAACAACTTGTTATCAGCGTTGTTCTCATTAAGTATTCTGAACCCTACTGTGTAATAACAATTTTTAGCCTGCCCTGTTGGTTGTCATAGAAATAGCACAAGGAACCACTTATTTTGGTAATAGGATTATAGATAGCGTCTTCTCTTATTTTAGTTGTTCTTTTCAAAATTATACTGATGCATTTTATTGTATGAGTAGATGAGATGTCTGCAGCCATCAGAAGATGAATTTAATGTGTGTTAGGTTAAGCACGTTAGAGGCATGCATAGAATTTAATATCTTTTAATATTGTTACTCTCCAAAATACAGAAAAATTATAAATAGCCAGATGTGAACTTAAAATTATGCATACCAGAGATAAGCAAACTAATCATGTCTCCCTCTGTTTGTCGCAGGTGGGACAGTCCCCTGGTTGATCTGTTTTTCTCCCACCAGTATCTTCAGATCACAACTACTGTGCCATCCACTTCGGTGTATGGGTTTGGTGAACATGAGCACCTGTCCTTCAAACACAGCATGGACTTCGTTACTTATGGCATGTTCAGC